GTACATTCGAAGAGGTGCAACAGCAATCATTAAATGGCAATTGTAACACCATGGAACAACAACAACAGCAACATCAGCATGGACAACAATATCAGCACCAGCAACAACAACTACAACAGCAGCAGTTTCAGCAGCGGCATATGGATGACTGTCGTTTGATCAGTGGCAGCGGGTCAGGCGGAGACGGACAGGATCGCCTAAATGATGCCGACAGTGTGGTGAACGGGAGCTGCGCATCCAGCGAAGACTTGAATCAGACAAACTCCAGCGAGCAAGGCGAGAAGATCACATCCGGCAGTGATGATGAAGGTAAGTAAGTATGGCAATAAATTACGCAGGACCACAAACACCTCGAACCCTGCAAAGCAAAAGGGACTATGTTTAGCTTATTTTTTTGGCGATGCTGAATACAAAGCCGGTGTCCGTTTCAATCCATCAGGTCAGGGTCATGTTCAAACATACAGAATCCGTGGCGGACTATAATAGGTACATATAGATTTTTGAGATCGCTGAATATGAATTCGGAGTCCGTTTAATCTATACAAATCACCCGATTCGGATTAAGCGAAACTTATGGGAACCTTAGCTTAGTTTTTAGCGATGCATTTTTTTTTCAAATTCGACCTAGAATTGCCCTTGATCCTGCCACCACACATAGTTCCTTTTGTGTTGCCTCGTGGGTACAGGTGTTTATGGTCTTGTGTTATTCGAGTATCTGTTTAGCTTCGATCGCACTGGGCACAAAAAGCATGCATTTTATGAAGTAAGTTGTAAAGTATGCTTCAAATCGTCATGAAGCGCCAACTTATACAGGTATCTAACTATAATTCTCAACCTGTTTATACGATACGAACTGGCTCGTGTCCTTGGTTCCTTTAAGTTATAACAAACTCTTTATTTTTTTACTCTTTTTTTTTACAGCTCAAGATGACAATTGTTCAAAGAAGAAACACCGTCGCAATCGCACGACATTCACAACATATCAGCTGCATGAATTGGAACGTGCATTTGAAAAGTCACACTACCCAGATGTTTATTCACGCGAGGAACTGGCCATGAAAGTCAATTTGCCGGAAGTTAGAGTACAGGTGAGTTTTATTTGGAATTTATATGAAACAAGTTCGTATATCATAAAGAAGCGGCGCTAGGTCTCTTTTTTCTGCTTGGCGACCGCTGTAACATTCTGAAAGATTTTCTCCGAGCCAAATAAAGCACGTCAGTCGTTTCTATCTCGTACCAACTAAAGCCAATTGAAATAAAGGTATTTCTCTATAGTCGTCAGGCATAAATTTGTCTAACCATTATTGATGCATGCACTCCGTACTGAAATACATAGTTCAGCTAGCAGGCCATCAATTCCAGGAATTTGATTTTTTTTTTCGGCCGCGAAATCGCTATTCGTACTTCGTCATAGTATGGGGGGTTGCACAACAATTCCGTCGTCATCTACTGAAGGCTCGGGTTCATATTCTTCACTAATTTCAGTGCTGCTACCATTCAATGCGAGTGGTTCTTTCGGGGTCCCTAAAATTCAATTATTTCTTCGGCAGCGGTATGTAGTGAGTGGGAAATGTGGTTCCACTGGTCGCATATGTCTGTTTGTTTAAGAGTGCTCTCAGAGAACAGGTGCCGGAGACGAGAGCCGGGTATATTTGCGTGTGCGTATCTTAGCTGCAAAAAATTGAGATCTTTGTCGATGCATGGTTCTCGGAGTGTACGTTAGTCTAAAAACCACTGACAACATACCTTTCGCCTTTCAGATATTGCCGAGCGCCTTAAAACATGTTCCGATCGTACAGCATCCAATCTCTTCTTCATAAGTTAGTAATTTTTATGAAGTTTAAGAGAATACTTGGACTTGGAATGCCAGTCAGTTTTAGGTTTTGGAAAGTTAAAAGGAACAAGAACTGCCTTCACGATTAAAATTTAAAGATTGCATGACCGTAGAAATCTTTTTAGCCTGTAAAACTAAAGTTTGTTTTTGCAAGGACGGATAGACACTTCGTCTATTTGAACACAGCTGTTTTTAACCAACTAAATCGCCCAGTTTTATAAAAGGTAACTACATAGTTATTTATGTGATTTTAGCTTTAACATGTGTCCATGTATGCACATTAAGGTGGTTCCAAAATATCACCTCGCAGAAATCAACGTTTTGCAATTTTCAGAAATTTAGAAAATGGAGCCCCATATTTTTTTATAGCAATTCTGCGAAATATGTGTGTATTTTCTCAAATACATAAAATACATACACAGAGAAAAAACGCGTTGTAATATTAAGAAAAATATTATGAATTCACTGAGGTGAATAACGCGTAGTGAAAATGATTTCATTTTTATTTTATTATCGTTTTAAAATGTTCGTATTTGAAAATAATACTTTGATACCACGCACGTGTGCTGTGGTATTGATTCCAACTCAACATTTGAGAGCACAATTACATATCTGGCTGTAGCTGAGTGCGCAAAGGTGCTTGCCACAATTTGTTAATTTCCAAAGGGTCAGGGTTCAAATCCCATTGCAGGCAGCATGGAAATTAAATTTTGTATTTTTTGTTTTATTTATCTTAATTATCAAAAAGCATCCGTGAAGTGCAAAATGCTCCATTTTAACGTGGGCATATTTCAATTGAATATTTCCTTACTAAATACTTAAATTTGTATGCTCAAATTTATTACGAGTTAGTATTTTTTTTTTTAATTCTAAAATTTATTTCTATCAGTGTACGTATATGGATAATTCAAATCTCGGCGGCACGGCTAAACAGTAGTCGATATCAAAGTAAAAAATGCGGGCCTTCTTGTTTTCGATTTTCTTCAGTTATGGACGTACATATGTATATGGGGCGTTCCATACCAAAGCGGACAGGGTTCACACTTAATGTGTTAATTTCTTTCAATTTTCTAGGGTTGACGCATAAACATAAATAATAAATAAATATTAAATTCGAGCTTGATTAATACATTTTTAGAAAAAAGTGCAAAAAGCATAAAGACTATTAAAAATTTAAGGCGGGTTTGCAATCGCTTAAAACTTACTATACGAAAATTTAAAGGCTACAAAACTGCATACTCTAAAAAATTCTAAAAACAATTTTAAAAATTTGTAAATTTGTAATGTACTCATTTTACTTAACTTCAGTGTAAAAAAAAAAAATCATAACTCAAATTATTGTAGAGTGCGTCCCATAATAAATATTGCGC